CACAGGGTAAGAAATGTTACATATAGATTTCACTGCTTTAGATGCATGTTGTTTGTCTCGTGTAGTTGTAGTTGAGCAAGAAGCTAGGCTATGCAGGTAAACAATGTAAGGCAACTAGTCAGAACTGCTTGCAACTGAACCAAAACTTGTAGGGGTTTTCCCCCGCACCTTCATTCCCATTGTGGCACTTCCTCAACAAAACATATTGTGACTCACAAATGCTTGGATGAAGAGCCAATATTCAGCGAATTTACATTTCTTCATTTCTGAGTAAAGCGAGCAATGCAACTGCTCTGACCAAGACGTTAAATTACCTCTCCAAATCTGAGGAATTTTGAGACTAATAAAAACTAGGGATGCCTTTTCAGATTCAAACACCTTTCAAAATCAGTCTGCAGGAACCCTGTTCTAGTTGCCCCCTTCACTCATTGTCAACTTTTCCAAACAACTTTGCGTGATCTTTTCCTTCCTTTCTACCACCGCCATGAGAGTTCTACCTTAAAACCCATCTTTCATTTCAGCAGGTTTGTGAAGTCATTATTCCACAGCCACAGTATTTCTTGCAGTGGATCGGATATTTTATATGGGAATAAAAATAATGATGGGCAGAATCTCTGAATCATTGGTGAACCACTGGTCAGCTGCAGGTACTGCCTTCCAATGCGGGTTACGTCGTTGTTTCTAAGTTGGGGCCAGTAGGGGTTCAGTTTCGCGCACACACAATGAGCCCTCACAGCAAAATCTACTAAAGTTTAAACTTGCTCAGAGAGCAAATTTCAAGTCAGCCATGACGACGAAGCTCAAATCCAGGGAGCGATCTAAAACTAGCCATAGTGGTGTCCAAGGAAACGATTTTGAAGGAGAGATCAGCAAACGTTAAAGATGTTAAGAATTTTGATTAACATGGGCAGAGCTGTGGAGCTTTGCGATCACACACTGCTCAGTGTTTTCTCTTTGCTGCAGTTTATTCCTAACACAACTCAGGAAGTGCGTTCAGGCCTGACCATGTCCCATAACAAAGGATGAAAATCACTTGAGTTTTTGGCCATTTCAAAGTGGAAGTAAGTTTACTGACTGAATATTAGACAAATCAGTGTTCTACTCTGCTTTACATCAGCAGGAAATTATGAACAAACATAAAAGCACGTTTTCTGCATTGCCAGCCTAATGCATTTAAATCCCTGTTGCTGTAACAGTTTGTTCAACTAAAACTGCACAGCTTCTTTGGGGGCATTACAAACACACGACTCAACAGGTTTTGCATATAGCTGAACATCTGTACTGCTCATTAACAGATAATTTTACACAAAAACTTTGAATGTAGCCTCCGCCCAGAGCTGAGTCACCTGGTTTAAAAAAAACAAAACAAAAAACAGAGCTACCTTCATGACGCTGAAAACTCTTTAGGCTCAACGTACCTCGTTTCGTAGTGCACCCCTCTGGTGTTACTATACGACAACAGCGGCCGTTACACAAACTGTATGACTTGGTACACACATCGGCGGTACAGACTACACAGGAATTAGCTTCAGTTGCTGAGAGGCGCAGCATTTACAATTATTAATACTTGTTGATGCCAAGAATTCTGACTCCATGCAGCTGTGGCAGTTTGGGGATCAGGACACTCAGAAGCGAGGCAGTGTTGATGACAAAGTGTGTTGTGTTGTATTTTGTATAGAAACTTGCCAGGAAGTATCTGTAAAGGTGGGGGAAAAGACAGTGTGTTAGAAATACATTGCAGCATTTTGGTTTCAATCAAATAAAATTAGATAAATAAATACAATGCCTCC